TACCAGTGTGGTAAGTAGTAGTGTTTCTTCTTCGATACTTCGAACTTTTAAGTTCACCATTTTCAGGAAAAACAGCTCAATGGAACTGTACATATGCCAAACAGTATGGTATGTTTTGTCCATCAATGGAAGTTAGAAGCATCTAAACTGCTCAATTCGTGACATTTCAGATAGAGCTTAAGTTTGATTTGCTCGACTTGAAGAAACAATTGGATAAAGGAACACCGCTCAGTATTAAGAGACGAAGACGCGCCAGCACAGCTCCACCAGCGCCACGAGGTTCCAAGCACCCCATAATTTTGGCGAATTTACCCTGTAGCGCAAAACTCAGCACGTGTACACCATTCTATACTCAAAAGTCTGGTGAGTGTCGAGTATGGGGCGACGCACTGTAATTACGGTTTCTCAGGAATATGAGGAAAAAAAGTACTCATAATGTATTGCATAACTATAATAAAGTGCTCATAAGTTTTTATTGACATTTGAAGAAAAAAAAAACAATCATATTTACCTGAATTCTGTATAAATAGCATCTAGCGATTCGCAATCTAGTCTCATAAACTCCAAAAACAATAAATCATTGCCACAGAACAAATCGGCAGCTATGACAGGGAAAATGTAGAATGTAAAAGCATAGGAACAATAACCAGTGGTACCCCATGAATGGAGCTCAAAGTTTCATGAAACAAAAAGAGTGAAACACGCATTTACAATGTCACCTCAAACAAGACTAGCAACTGAGTGAATTTCAAAATACACGATTGGCGAATCATTGGATCGTTCCAGCGGCGCACCTGATGAAGGATAGCTATAGCTCTGATCACTATTTAATATCAAGGTCAACAAGGCTTCCATATAAATATTGGCAAACACGCCTCAGGACATGGGAAGAAAGAGATATATGCAAACGTTGATTAGTAAGAGTTCCCTTGAAATCAAAACCTGAATTTGCGAGGTTTACGCCTCAGAAATACGAATCACACAAACTCGAATAGTAAACCAATAGAGCTGTGTTTATCACAATAAGATTAGCTAACTAGAAAACTTAGCAGTTAATAGATATGATTTTAACCGAATACTCAATGCTACCCGATTGATGAATGCAGTAAGTACGCAGGATAGGAAATCACAATGATCAAATAACAAGTAACATGCAATACCGTGTCATAGCGAGAGGAATGTGGAGTTGAGAAGCTCAGATAAAGACCTCGAGTTAACACGCTGTCATATGGAATCTTTGAAGCTGTTCTTTAGAAAATCGTCAGGCCATGAGCCGAAATCAACTATGTGTAGAACATCGTGAAGTTGGAAGTTATCGCTGGCCATGTAGACCAAGTTCTAAAAGATATGAAAACTTAGGGCGAAGACAATATGGAAAATTTTGACTTCTGTTAGCAATCCATAAAATCCTTCATTTTTGATCTATAGCTGAAAATCAATTTATTATCAGCTTTTGACTTAGATTCTTTAATATACTCATCTCAAATGAGAATTATTAATGTGTAAAATCATAATTTTTGATTCAGAAGCTCTAAAATATAATTGTTGCCACTGTTGAATATCAAAGGCTAAACAAAACACGGTCAATAATCAAGAAGTTCTGTGTTTTCAATTTTTTATGGGTTTAATGAGTGCATTATACTGTGTCATTGGTTTGAATTAAAAATTAGCGATAGTGCAGTAATGGACATCCAGGGCACCTTGTCCATGGGCGGGGCGATACTTCTTTGCAGCCTTTAATCTGCTGCTAAGAACCATTTATCGCCAGTAGGCCAAATCAGCGTGCAGAACTGTTCTTTTCTATGCTTTTCTTTCAAACGATAAAACGCCAATGCATTTGAGTAAAAGTTTTCAATGTCTTGTTCGTGGCCTGAGTCCATTCTAGTCCTCTAATGTCCTTATTAATTTACATCCTTACAATCATGGATCAGTGATCCACGAGGGCAAGGAGATTTAAAAGCAAAGTCCTCTAGCCGTGACAAGGAAGTCAGGAAGATATTGGTTGATACAGTTCGTATGCTCCGTTAAAAACCAAAAATCACATTGAAAATTCTCTTGAAGTGTAGAAGGGACTGGGTATTCATCACAATGGACCAATATGAATCACATTGTGCCTCAATCATTGCCTAACAAATCATCGAACATCTCGTCTCTCTCTCCCCTCCCTCCGTCCCCCTCCACCACGTGATCTTTCAAACTAAAACAACGTGTGTTAACGTCATGTACCGATTCGAATACAATCGCTTTTATAGACTCAAGAAGGTAAGCATAAGGCTAAGGGCGGTCTGCATATCTTCAAGAACTGTTCCGGAAAGCTATTTGAATTGTTAATAAATCCCTTTTTGTTTTAAGCGTTAAACATTTTGGCAAAAATTCTCTCATGTAGATAGTAACTTTCCTAAGAACAACTGAGCGATCTTAAGAACGATTTGAAATCTCTAAAGTAAGAGGCAAATCCTCCACAAAAAATAAGATATCTCTCTAGACTGGCCACCTTCGATTTTCGGAGATTGGATTTAAAGTCCTTCAATTAGAAGGAAAATAGACAAGCTAGGATGTTGATAAAAAATCGTATAAATGGAAGAAAGCAAGATGCAAACAATAACAACATTAGAAATTCTATGAAAATAATATTGAAAAGCAAGAGGAAGCACGTAACAAAAAGGTAAAAATTAAAGTTTAGAAGACTCACAGTAGTAGCTGTTAGGAGAATCATAATTTTGGCGATTCGAAGGGCAATAGCTGCGTTTGATAAACTTGGCTCTCTGTTACGAATGTGATGGTGAAGCATTCGCACAAAACGATGACCCATGCTCCGTGCATGTTCTTTCCCGGATACAGAAAGTTCCAGAGGTTCTAGACAACAACCTGTCAAAAAATAGCTAAGCTTTATCCAGTTAGTGCAAAACAGACCATCACTAAATACGATAACCGCTAGCATCAATGATTTTTCTGTTTCATCTAGTTGTAGTTCGCGCAGGGGTTCTGACAGCGTTACAACCATTCGCTCACTGCAGCCTCTGGAAGAAGCAAGGGCAATTGAAAACATTTAGAACTACTCCAATAAGGCGCTTTTCAACCATACCGAACATCAGGAAAACACTGTAATGATTCCGTTCGCGGAAAATAAGTGCCATTAGCGTAACAGACTCCGTCACAATTCGCTTCATTCGTCCAATTAGCCAACATCCACCAGTAAAACGGCCCAAATCTACTTTTTCCTATGAGAATCTAAAAGAAATTTATTCAAACAGCCGGTACAGCTTACAAGAATTTTCTACCTGGTCATCAACACTAAGTGAAGCGAATTCTGGTAAGGCATGCAACCAATCTGCAAACAAAACAAAATTCCTTCGCCAGTCTTGCATCACATCTTTCATCGTCGCCACGCGTTCAGCCGTGATGATGAGCTGGAAAGAGAAAAGAAATAAAATAATTAAAGTAATGAGTAAAACGAAGAAAGCAAGAAGCAAATTCTCGAACACGTTGAAGGCCAGAAACTTGCTGGGAACTGTTAAAAATTGAGCAAAAGAATGGAATGGATATAGGAGATAAAAACAGAAGATTCTAAAAATAAAGCCATTTAGGAAAGAAGTATTTTTCAAAATGAAATATAAACATGAAGAACAGAAAAACTCTAAAGAGAACTAAAGAAAAACACACCGGTGTTCTGGCTGAAATCATGTTTGGATTGTAGAACGCATTGATGAAGGATACGCTAGCAGAAGACAAACCTAAATAACTATTAATTAAATAATGATTCCAAATCATCATTTATTTCCTTCCCAAAAGTGTTTATATAAATGAAAAAATCTTAAAGCTTATGACCGATTGAGGCATACAGTTTTGAATGAGGTCTTGAAATTATAGGAAATGAGATTTGTAGCGAAGACTAATTATTACGAAACAAGCAACTTTGGGGACCAAAGCTTAACTACAACTGGTTCCTGAACTTTGGTGCATTTTTACGCTTTCCTGCGTAAATGAAGTACTAGATGAACCGACTGTCGTTACAACATTTAGATGCTCTGTTAAGTTGAATAAGTGAATAAGTACCCACAAAGTCTAAGTTGAATAAGTATAAACAGAGATAATAAGTAAATCAAACAATGAATAGAATAAAGTAGATGATTGGATAAATAAATTTATGAATAAATGGTAAAACAGTCAATGAAATGGGCAAGATGAGCTATGTTTCGAAAAATATCAAAGAATAAAAAAACAGAAGAAAATTAAGCGAAGTAATAACTAAAAGGCACTACATCATTATTGCAAATTTAAAGAATATGACGAAAAATAGAATGATGAGGAAAGTAAATGAACTTACCATCTGACCGTGAGAACCCGGAAACACTGGGAGGATCCACCCGGCTGCAGACTTGTCGATGCATGGCTAATAATGTGTCAGCTGCTCTTAATAAGGTTACACTCAGCTGCAGCGTGTGATTGAAATATAATGCTGAAAAACTCACTTGCTTAATTCGACATCGGGGCTAGGTAAAGCATCCGCTTTGATCGAACACTGCTCTGTTTGCACTTCAACTGAGCATCTGAAATAGCCATTAAAGGACTTCAGAATGATATTATAAGTGAAGATTCCATTACCAAAACGAACCTATCCGGAGAATTTTCTCGATAGTCGTCATCGCCATCATCTATTTCATGCATTGGATCACTTCGCTCTCGCTCAGACTGTACAGCTGAACGAAAACCATCTATTAGCGCAAGTTTGCAAACTATACGATGACTTTGTCACCTCTAGGATTCATTCCCGCTATGAAACATTGTTTTAATCGGCAGGCTCGACATACGTTACGATGTTCTGTAATAAAAATTGTAGGCCGTACACGTTGTAAAATTCCTTCGTTCAGAGAAGATAAGTCCTTGAACACAACAGAACTTTGGGTGAGGTCAATTAAAAACAAAGAACCATTTAAGTGATTTGATAGCGCAGTCAAAGCATAAAATATACGTCATAGGAAGCGGTAAAAAGTAAAAGAGAGAGGAAGTATTCAAATAAAGGAAAGGATCGCCAGATGGGTGAGCCATAATTAAATTTTGAGATTTGGGAAAAACCTCCGGATGGAATGAAAATTAAGGGCTCAAATTTCAGCTGACCCACGAAATTCCGATTTTAAACGCAATGTGGTTGCGCACCACGCCCATAACAACATGTTTGTTTATTCAAATCCACATGAGGGCCTACACAGCTGATAAGTCTGGTTCGTAGAAGTGCAAAATCGCGTGTGATGGTGCAGACGCTCCACAAGTGCCACTTGTGAACATCCAGACGATGAGAAGTTTTACTTCAAATTTAACAGGTGCTAATTCCATAACAGGGAAGGAGATTTTTTTGAAGGAGGAGAAGAAGAAAAAACAAGATCACGTTCAAAAAGAGTAATTGATTCCTTATCAGAAAAAAAGGGGTGGAAATTTCGGCAACTAGGTAGGATTTTATTATCCAATTTAAGAAGATTATTTCAAGAAAAGACTTATGATGCTATAACAAGCGATTATGAATACCATCTATAGTCAGCTAGACCAACAAACCACCCCTAATAGATATAAAGACAATGCACGAACCTTTTGCAATGGCGCATTGTCCATCGAATCGACACATGTATTGACGATTGTTCCACACACTAAATTAGCATTTCGCTTATAGAGAATGTCTAAAACGCGACGTAATTGGAAATAAAATGGCATTTCAGACAAGAAGTTAGATGGAAAAAAAGGAATTTCATGCAAAAGGGACAAAATTGGCTTTTCGTGCAGTAAGAAGAATAAAATGTATATAATTTATTCCTTTCTGCTCCAAAAAAATGGCAGGAACTGTCTTTAAACCTTTAACAAGTACGTAAGATTTATTTGTATCTCCATGCCTCTTATGCATTTTAACCTCATTGCTATTTAGATATATATACCAAGGAGTTGAAAGGGCACTTTGTGATTTTTGAAAAGTTTGTGAAGTTTTCTGATGTACGCTTCCATCGAGTTCATCGATCTTAGAACC